GACTCTCTTATCCTCTCCATCTTTCTTGCTCCTTCTGCCTTTCCCTGTCTTTCTGTTCCCACCCCTCATATACTTCCTCTCCCTTCCCCTTTTTTCCTCCATCTCTTTCCCTTCTATTCCTCTTTCTTCCCAGAATTTCCCCCTCTCTTCCTCCCACATCGTTCTTTCCTTTCCTCCCTTATCCTCTCTTTCATATCCTCAAAACATTTCCTCGCTAAACTTCCTCCCCTTCCTTCCTCCAACTTCCTCTCATACCCTACCGCCCTCCTTCCTGCCCTTATCCTAAATTGTCTTTTCCTATCTCCTCTCTTACCATATACCCCGGCGTGCACCAGTCTACTCCTAACGTCCACCTAATCCATCGCTCCTGCATTGTCCTCCACCTCTCTCCTCTCCTTCCATCCCCATATTCCGCCCCATATTCCAACACCGTCCCCACCAACCTTTCCATTAGCCATACTCTTTTCATCCAGTCTCCTGCAAACCTTCTCTTTCCCATTCCCCACACCTGTCTTATCACCGCTCCTGCTTTCCTAACTCTGTTCTTTACCTGCGCCTCCTGCCCCCGTTTCCTCTGTAGCTTATACCCTAAATATGTGAATTCTTTCACTTCCTCTAACCTTTTTCCTTCCATCTCCACTCCACTCTCTTCATTCTTCCTCCTCCCTTTTTAAACCTCATTACCTTTGTCTTATCCACATTCACCTCTAACCTTTTCTTGTCCATATAACTTTCCATTTTCCCCACATATGTATCATCCCTTCTTCATCCTCCGCCAACAGTACCATATCATCTGCGTACGCCAAAACAATGCACCTTTTCCCCTCCCAGTTTCACCCCCCCCCCAACCTCCTTTTCTTAGCACTTCCTCTATATCCGCTATCAGCAAACTGAATAAGTGCGGACTCATTGGGCAACCTTGCCTCACCCCCCTTGCGTCCAAAAATTTCTCCCTCCTCCTTCCCCACTCTTACCTTACTCCTCGTTTCCCTGTACACTCTTTATCCTACTCCTTAATCCCTCCCTCACTCCCCTCCTCTTCATTGCCTCCATTAACACCTCCCTATCTACCGAATCAAACGCCGCCTTCAGGTCAATAATTGCCGCGACTACCTTTCCCCCCTTCTTGTTTACCCTCTTATTCACCAGATAGTTCAACACATAGATACTATCCATCACCCCATTCCCTTCCTAAAACCTGTCTGACTCTCCGGTATCATATGAAGAAAAACTATTACTTATATCTTTTCTTTTACATAAATTCAGTTTTATATACTAAAAATTTATTTGTTTAAAATGTAATTAAAGAATAGAAGTAAAATATTTCTGCTTCAAAATTCTCGAGCCGAAATTCATGATACATTTAGATAATTATTAAGTCGAAACGAAAAAATGTTATAATTAAGATTTGTAAAATAACAGGGATTGCGATATATTTGTCTTTAATGCCCAAATTATATAAAATTATGTTATATATTAAATAATATAATTTTATATATTAAAATATTAATTCTTATATGTCTTAATATTATGTACTGACCAAAAAGTTTATTTTTATTTGAAACATATATATATTTAAATATATTGCAAAATTGAGACCTGTAAATATGATATATGTGTTGTATTAATGCAAATAAAATAATGACAATTAGTCTAATTATTAGCTGAAATTTATACAGGTATCATTTTTTAGTTTCTTATATAAGTACGTATATGTATAACATTAGTCGACAAAAATGATTCTTTCTTTAATTCAGAGATTTCCAAAATGTGTTTTTGTAGATTTTTTTTGCTGAGTACGAATCCGGCTGTGAAAATTGCGTATCACGTTATGTTTTTTTAGATATCTTGATCTAAAGATGTGAAAAAGGGCATTTTGGACACTTTTCCGTAAAATATAGCTTTTAATTGAGACGTGATAAAAAGTACTACGACGACTTAAAATAAAATTTATGACTTGTAGTTTATGTAAAAAATGGAAAAAAGATTGAATCTATAAAGAGTTTATTGAAAAAATTAAATTAAAAAATTAAAAATATTATTTTTCGCACTTTTCTTCAGTCTTTAAAGGTTCGGTAGAATGTTTCACTTTACCTCTTTATAAATTCGATCTTTTTCATATTTTTTACATAAATTACAAATTAAGCTTATTTTGCTTAAGCTTTATTTTGAGCCATCGTAGCACTTTTTATCACATCTCAATTAAAAGCTATATTTTACGAAAAAATGTTTATAATGCCTTTTTTGTGTATCCATAGATGTCTAAAAAATGATATCTAAAAAATCTTACGTGATACGCAATTTTCGCGGCCGGATTCGTTAATCAGCATGAAAAAATCTACAAGAGATTAAATTATTTGCCAGTACGGTTGAGAAGAGATTCTGTCTTATTTTTTATTCTTAATTCTTTTGGCGGTCTTGACATATTTGATTAGTGTAATTAATTATTACATAATAAGTTTTTAAATGATGAAGTTAAGTTAAATAATGATTAAAGTGCTGACAATACAATCGCTACCTACGTTTAAATCTTTCAAACGTTGTTATTGTTGAGAAATTAAATATAATTGTAACGCAAAATAGGATTAACACAAAAAATATAAAATCTCGTGTATAATAACGAAAGTTTTTTAATCCATCGAGATTATGTCGTCTAGGGAAGAGATCCATTTTTTGACTCAACCTTTGGCTTCAGAACACAAACTGACGGAGGAGGAGATGGTTCCTCAGAACCAGAGCTCTGAACCAGGTATGTCCTCTCGCCAACCTTCATTTCATTATGGATTTGTGGCATAGAGCGGATATAACCAATTTCGTTTCCTTATCCGCACTCTTTGCTCCTTCCCGATACCTTTTTTCAGATCTTGAGACTGAAGATATTCGTTCAGTGTCTTCCCTGGATCATCCGCCTTCTATTCCAACACAGGCAGAGTCGGTGACACATCAACGACACGTTTGACAAGCTTTTCGGTGCCTGCGAGAAATCATCAGCTGTTTCTCCCTGGACTATTCAAGGACTCCTGCTATATTCAACTTCGCTCATTACCTTGCGTTAATTATACTGCAGACGTCTTGTTCTTTATGATTACAAGTAGTAGCGTCAAGCTATGCTCAAATCCACAATGTTCAGAGTATTGAAAAAATGTCTCTTATGGACACCGCTTGTTTATCTTCTTCATATTGTTTTTTGTGCTCAACGATTCGCACGTCAGAAAAAGTTTATTAAATAAAATATTTATTTAAATATTGATCACAATGAAGAAAGATAGAAAGGATAGGAAAAGAAGACATTCTCGATCACGTTCAAGAGACCTAAAAGAAGTACTCATGAAACTGAAGATAAACTGCATCCTCACTCAACTGGTTAAGATTAAGAATAATGAGTCTCAAGATGTACCGAATGATAAAATTTCAGATTCTACGGGTAAAAAATTGAATAATTTATTTAATTTGATGAATGTTTATTCCATACAAATATTACCCTCTCTCCAAAATAAATCAATGAATAAATAATATCTTAAAGTGCTTATTCCATACGAATAATGCATTCCTAATAAAGGAATTGAACATTCGTTACTGAACAAATAGTTCTGCAGATTAATTTCACACGAATGCTGCCTGTGACTTTAATTTTAAAGGATATTATTGTCCTAAGTTTTTTATTTGTAATATGATTTATTCGCTTTCAGAGAAAAAGTATTCTGATATCGAAAATGAATCTGAGGATATACAGGATTTCGCGGATCCTGTTAATGATATTTTTGAAACCAGTGACGCTCAGGTTAGTGTCTCTAAAAATGGGGAAAACACAGACCCGACAATGGACTCTGTCATTGATGACGAAATTCTGCAAATATTGAGAGAAGATCCGAATGATGTACCAACAAATTCTGTTAAATTTCATACGGAAATTAAAAACAGATGGAAAGCCTGGATGACAGGAGGTCTACTAGAAGAGACGAGGAAGACATTACTTAAAAATTATCCACGTAATGTTGATTTATACGCAGATCCTCCAAAGATTAATTTAGAGATTGCCGCAGCTTTATCTAAAATTGCCAAGAAAAGGGACCAACATTTTGTTGAAACACAATAATGTGTTGGTTCATCTATTCTCGCTCTTGGAGCAGCAGTATCGATGTTATTCATTGACTCAGAAGAAGAAGTGGATCAGATGAAACCCATTGAATTGTGATGAAATACATTAGATAATAATTTTCCTGCATCACACAGTGATGCTCTAATTTTACCAACTTTCAAGAAATTATTTATGATATTCCGCTTTGTCATTAATAATATTAATGACAAAGCGGAGGGAATATTGGTTGTGCCAAACTGGTCTACTCAACCCTGGTTTTTTTTATTTAATTCTCTGCTCAGGGGATCACTATTATTTTTAATCCAAGTAAAAAGTTGTTATCTCCTTAGGACTAAGTTCGATCGGAATTATATGAGGACGTCTCGTTCGAAGATGATTACTTCCCTCTCTATTTTATTTCCCATTAATTACCCAAATCATCTTCGTAATTTCTGCGTAAAATTAAACAAAAATTCTCTAAACAATATAAAGAAGATAAACAAGCGGTGTCCATAGGAGACGCGATTTAATTTTTTAATACTCTGAACGTTGTGGATTTGAGCATAACTTAACGCTACTACTTGTGTAATCATCTTCGAACGAGACGTCTTTATATAATTTCGATCGAACCTCGCCCTACTTTGATCGTCGAATTGTATATACATAGTTTAAGAATATTCTACAATTTTATGTGGTTTTACTCGCGCGTATATACGGGATGTAAATTATTACATAACGTGATATAGAGAATTATATATTGTTTAAATTGCTTGATCACTGAAGAAACATATTTGTAAAATTAATAATTTTATTTTTCAAAATTAAAATTTAGTAATTTAAATATAATAGTAAAATAATAATAAATATTTAAATATAATAATAAAAATAAAAATATAATATAAAGAATTACAGAAGTGTTCTGTAACTCTAAAGTGTTACATTTTTAATGATGATATTAAAATGTCCAAGTATATTTGCTGGAGTACATTTGCTGTTTCTTCACTAAGCATGTGTTTTTCTATATTTTTAGATATAGAAAAAATTTTCCCCGGCGGGCCAACTAGCGATGGACTATAGACAAAAATATAATTATATATAACATATTTAGTATTATTAAAAAATATATATATTAGAAAAATTAGGTATGTTGCATTATACATATATAACATATTTAATTATATATAATTATATATCAGAAAGAAATATTTTTATCGGCTCTCAATATTAAGAATATAAATATGATGTTTTTTTAAATCGGCCAACAGAGCCAAAGCACGAAAAATTCAGCGACTTTTCGGGCCTATATTTTTTGCGCCTATTTCTCTATATGTAAGTTTCAAGATTAATTTATATATGGAACTTAGTGATCTCAAACCAAAAAATACAGTTCCGAATAATAAATTTTTCGTGCTTTGGCTCTGTTAGCCGATTTAAAAAAACATCATATTTATAATTATATATTTTTATATTATATAATATATTACATATTATTATATATTATATTTTTATAAATAATGTAATAAAATTTATAAGACAATGTGCTAATGTAAACTAAAAAATTTTTAAAATTGGCTTATTTTTAATATATTGTTATACTATAAACAATAAAAAAATAATTATACTAATTAAATCAGTATAAAGAATAAAATTTGTGCGTTTAATCTTCTTTTAATCTATTTTTCTCTATCTGTTTTTATATATATTATTAAAGTTTTTGTTTTCTTACACTATATTTTTAATATTTTTTATTTATTTTTTATTTATAAAATACGTTCTTTGTTGAAGTAATATACATTATGCGACAGAGGTTATTGAAACAAAATAATAAAAAAATTTACAAACCAAAAGAATTACCTCTGACATAACTTTTTTTCCAAGAACTTGTTATAATTGGCTGCATAACGAAATTGCTTGCACACGCATCGAAAGTTAATGATATCCTCAATAATGATATTATTACAGCTGAGAATCATGGCTATCATCTCTTCTAGTAAGCACGTTATTTCAGACATTATGAAAAACAAAACACAAGAAAGGAATATAAATTAAAGTTATTGCGATATAATACTATTCGCGTAATTAATTCCTTGCTTTTCGAAGTACACGAAATGAGTCTGCCGATTACAAAGAGCACAAATGTGTGTTTGATGTACACGAGAGACGTTTTCCACACTACAGACGTTCAGTTCTTTATTATGAAATTTGACCTCAAATCCTAATGTCTAATTGCTTCTTCTCATTAATTGTAAGATGCAGATATAAGGGGACTTGTCACGACATACGCAGAAAATGAAATTTAGAACTAGCAAAAATTATCATTTTTTCCTATGCGGATTGAAGGACAGAATGTGGTAAATAATTCATTTATTATTTATTTTATTATTACTATTTATATATTTATTGTTCTTTATTTAAGCTTAATTAAAATAATATTTCAAAGTATCAATTATTTTATTAAATTTTACCAATTTTTATGTATTTATATTTTACAGCTTCAGTGCTATAGTTTCAGTGCATATTGTGTTTGTGAGTCTGGCCAATTTGTATTTTAATCTTGAGTTATAATAAAATCGTGTATGTTCTGCACAAATTGCATTTCACTTCGACTAATTGCAAAGCGATTATTTCATGTTCCGTTATAAACATTCCAATGATATTTCGTATTATCAAATTTAAAAAAATTAATTAAACATAAAGAAAGATGACTGTGAAAATGAAGTATGAGAGAAAAATATGTATCGCAAATAATATGAGTTTGAAACAAAAATGAAAAAGTATTTTTATTTAACGCGTGACATTCATTTCTTGTTCAAAACACAAAACTTAACAAACTTTGGCACAGCAATTTTAGATGTCCATATGTATTACCAAACATTTCAATAAAAAATGTATAATTATTATTTTAGCGATATAATTCACATAAATATTCGTGTTGCAAAAATCGAGGATTTTATTTTAGCTGAGAATTTTATCTGTAAAGATTTGAAAAATGTAAATCTCTCTTATTGAGAAAATTTCATAAAATTCTATATAAATTATATATAATTTATTATATATAATTGTATATAATTGTAGATAATATCACATAAAATTGTAGAATATTCTTAAACTATGTATATACAATACAATATATTGTAGTGCTATGATTTTAAACCAAATTTATCTTAAAATTACTCTAGATAAATTATATAGTAAAGAAAATACTTTTTTTATCTATAAGATGCAGATATAAAGGTAATACGTATTTTTATTATCTATATGCTGATAAGATGATTCCAAAGTTTTATCTATATAATTTTATTTATGTAACAGCAAACACTAATGATATTAAACAATGTAATTGTACATATAATTTTTCAAATTAATAAATTTTTTTAAGTATTTAATTCAAAGCATAAGTATATATGTCTCTTCTTTTTATACTTTAATCAAAAAAATTAAAAAAAAAATATTATTTATGTAGGGGTCTGATGGGCGTGAGAGAGAGAAATAGAATGTTTCTCTCACCGTTTCGATTAGGATATCGTGTTTCAATGGATAGGCCAAAGGTTTAATTTATTCCAACGCAAAATGATAGTATGTATATGTATGTATAATGTGCAATTGTGAATATTACACGTCTTCACGTCGACAATTCTTCAGAGCCGTATCTTGCCGTTTTCGCCGTCGTTCGATGTTTCGAAGAAGAGAGATATGATCTGTTCTGTTCGGTTCTCTATTGTCTGTCCCGATTCCCAAAAAGTCGGCATATTTATACCCGGTGTTAAAACCTTCCCTACCCGAAACATCGGACCAATCAGAATTACCTTCGTTCATCGCGCAGAACTGTGTTTTCGGTTTTCTCGACAAACAAAGGATCGCTCAGAACGCTTTCAATAATAAATATTACAAATAAATAAGTACCCGGCACGAGGTCGACAAACAAAACACGTAAATCAGCTAATCTCATCGTCGGTTAACGTCTTTATAAAAAAATGCCTACATTTAATATATTAATTTGTAATTTAATTTATACTTGAGTGAATAACATTAGTTTTATATTTATTTTTGAACTACATATTCCTAAAAGTATATTAAAACTATATTTTCAAATTTTGATTATAATATGTATATTTCGTAATTCAATACGTGTATTCTATATCAATTAATAAACATTAATGTGCGTATGTATGTATATATTATGTTTCTTTTTAAATATTATGTAGAACAATTTTTTTGAAAGCATAATTACATACAATGTCGACTGTGCTTATATATGTTACTTGGCACGTTTTTCCAATTATAAAGATTTTATTGTGATTTCAATGCTATTTATAAAAAAGAACCGATAGAATAATATCAAATCTGTTTGTTTCTATCACGAATATATATCATATATATAATTTTTTTATTTAAAAATGCAATTAAATATATTGAAGAATTCACATTAAAATAAATAAGCAAAGTTACTTTTAAATTTTATTTTTAACAATTAAATCTAAAAAAAATATTTAATGACTGAATATTTTTCGATCGATACAGGCCAACTAATATTTATTTAATTAATCACACAACGTTTTATAGAATTTCTGTTCTTCTCCAGTGTACTGTCAAGTGAGCAAAAAACCAAAATTATATGGTCGAAACACCGTGGTCGAAAAATGTGTAATTAAATAAACATCATTTGAGTGAATAACATTAGCGAGTATCGGTCGAAAAATATTTGGTCTTTCAATTTTTGGCAGCTGAAAATTAAGAATTCTAATAAGTATATTATTAAATGTTTACATTCCATATATATATACTTATAAACATATTATGTATGTATTTATATATATAACGGTAGAGTTCGCCAAATTTATTATTGAGCAATAAAAAAAATAATTAAGTAAGATAAAATATTTATAATATACGTTCTATGCAGAAGTGATATACATTGTGCGACAGGCGTTAATGAGACAAAATAACGAAAAGATTTACAAACCACAAGAATTACCTTTGAGATAACTTTTTTTCCAAGAACTTGTCATATTTGGCTGCATAACGAAATTGCTTGCACACGCATCGAAAGTTGATGATATCTTCAATAGTGAGTACATTATCGTTGAGTATGTGGCTTATCATCTCTTCTGGTAAGCACGTTATCTTATAATCAGACATTATGAGAAACAAAACACAAAAAAGGAATATAAATTAATTGATTGCAATATATTATTCGCGTAATTAATCCCTTGCTTTTCGCAGTACACGAAATGCGTCTGCCGATTACAAAGAGCACAGATGTGTGTTTGATGTACACGAGAGACGTTTTCCACACTGCAGACGTTTTGCTCTTTATTATTAAATTTGACCTCAAATTTTAAAGTATTATTACTAATTTTCACTAAGATACAGGTATATAAGGACTTGGCACGGCATGCGCAGAAAATGTAATTTAGAACTAGCAAATTTACCATTTTTTCCTATGCACTTGTATATTAGAACGTGGTAAATAATTCATTTATTATTTATTTTATTATCACTATTTATTTATTTATGTTCGTTTTATTATTTAAGCTTAATTAAAATAATATTTACCCCCGGGGTACCCCGCGGGGCCCTGCGAATTTTCTTGATGTAAATTTTTCCTCGCCGTTCCTCTGTGTTTCCGCTTCGGGTTCCGTTATTCCTCTTTATGGGCCGTCGGGAAGACTCCTAGGAGTGCACCTCTTTGCGATTCCTCCCAAAAATCCGCCAGATCGATTGTTTGATCGATGACGGGATTTCGGTGTATCCGGATCTGCGGGGCTCGAGGTAGGGTATCTCCCGCGCCTTTCGTTTGCGGGGCTCTCTCGCCTCTCGCGAGAGAGTGGCCATCCCCGTCTCTGGCCGGAATCTCTGCGGAAGAAGGAACATTTTACGGCGGTACCCAGGTTCTTAACGGGAGGAGCAAGCCAGAAAATCTAGGTGAAAATAATATTTACCGGGCGTGATCCGGACTTGGTGGTCTCTGCTCGGTCCTAAAGCGTCCTCTTCGTCCTCTCCGTCCTCTCACTCTTTCTCTCTATTGGTTTCTCCGGTTGAGACACGTACCCTATGAAAAATTGCTCGCCGAAAACGCCAAAAATCGCTCAAACAAAAATCATAAATAAAATACTTCGCGAAACGGGTGCGCGAAGCGCATCCTCCGACGCGGTAGAAAACGCAAAAATGATTGTTCGGGTGCTCTCTCTCTCTCAAAGATTGGCGAGAGAGCAAAGGTTCCCGAATTTCCCGCCTTCCCGGCCGGGCCTTCGGCCCTTGTGACGGACAGTACAAAATGTCACGTCACAACATATATGGTCCATAATTATATATATTATAATCTCTAATAACTTACATAATCTATACAAATCCATTTGATATCTTCGGGTGCAAATGAGGAGATACATGTTCGAAAGTTCAAGATGCTAAATATATATTTCTGGAGTGTATCCATAATCTGCGTACTTTCTGTTTCATCTCAATGATTATCTTCGATACTAGCTTTTCGGACCGCGCTTTGCGCGGTCCTCATATAGCCTATATTAAATCCGTTTTAACACAACAAATTAATTCTTTTTTTGTATTACCGCAAACTACTCCCACATTTGTTGTCTGTCAAAATGTTGTGTATAAAATATCTGGGAGAAAGAAATAGATAACATAGTAGTCATCCACAAAAAAATTTAAACATTTATTTTGGTTAAATACTTTAAATATTTTTTTTATTACTTAATTATTATATCCTTTTTTATACATTTTACTCAATTTTTTTTTATTTCTAATGTACCCACCGCTAACACGCTATTATTAGCTCTCATACAATATCATAATTCTTCAATTTACAAAATTTCCCTGTATATTACATTTTTTGTAAAACATTTTTCACTTTCTTCAATTAAATGTCCTTGATTGCTACATTCATCAATTTTAATTTTTACACTTTCTCTTTTTGTTGCTCTAGAAAATGCCACATAAAGTTGACCATGAGCAAATACAGGATGTGGCAAATAAATTCCAATTTTTTCAAAACTTTTATCCTTGTGATTTATTTATTGTCATAGCAAATGACACTCGAATAGGAAACTGTCTTCGTTTAAACTTAAATGGCAGTTCCAAATCATTTGTAATTAAATCTATCCTCGGAATCATGACAATTTGTCCTCAAGCAGGACCTGTTATAACTTCTACATAAATTATATTATTTTTCAAATTAGTTACAATAAATCTTGTACCATTACAAAGTCCTTTTTTAGTATTTAAATTTCTTAATAAGATTATTGTAGCACCAACTTTTATTTTAAGCCGATGAACTGGCATTCCAGAAGGTGTCAGTGAGTTTAGAAACTCAGTTGGAAAATTTAATTGCTCCTGTGGATCATCACTTACAATACAGTCAATAGAGAGATACTCCTTTTCTTCTCCTTCCATTAGACAAAGAATTTCATCATTAATTTTGAAAGTATCTTCATTTTTAGGACAAAGAATCGCTCGATCTTGATTTTCTCTAATTCTTTTCATGGTAATTCTATCACCAAAAATCTCATTAATAAGAGATTCTTTTGATATAAAATCTTGTGGAATTTTAATCGTGTCTAGATTTAGTCCATCTGTATTTGATAATTTACCATCTCCGAGTTGCATTAACCAATTTGCAAATCCTTTTTCTTCCCCAGTTCTCATATTTTGCTGTAATTTAACCTTAATTACATTCCTCCATATAGGGTTGTATTTTACAGTCGATTCAATTATCGCTGTTTTGTGTACATGAGGTACTACTGGAAGATTTTGTCTGAAATCTCCTGTAAATAAAATTACTTTTCCTCCAAATGGTTGATGATTCTTCATTAAATCCTTGAAAAGTTTATCAACTGCTGTTAAGGCATGTCCAACAGTCATGCTCACTTCATCCCATATGATTAATTTGGCATTGATCAATTCTTGTGCAGCTTGAGAATTTCCTCTAATATTTGATTTAGCTGCATCATCAATTGGAATTGTAAGCTTAAATAGAGAATGATAAGTTCTTCCTCCTTTCAAAAGTGTGAAAACGCGACGACCACGTCTTGCACGGGGAACTGAACTCGTCGAAATTATACCGGTTTCAATCCCCTGGTCGCCTCTCTCCGGCGGATTCAGCCGCGAACTCTCTCTCTCTCTCTCTCTCTCTCTCTCTCTCTCTCTCTCTCTCTCTCTCTCTGCTCTCTCTCTCCTCTCTCTCTCTCTCTCTCCCTCTCTCTCCCTCTCTCTCTCTCTCCTCTCTCTCCCTCTCTCTCTCTCTCTCTCTCTCTCTCTCTCTAAAATTAAAATCTACTTACATTATGCTGATTTGAACTGCATGCATTTTCGCTGCTCTCTTTAGACATGTTGGTTAAGCCGTATTATGTGTCACATTGATTTAAAAAAAGTTGAAGGAAATGTATATATAAAATAAGAATATTGAATTTAAATGTTACTACGGTCAAGGCATATAAATTAAAGGTTTATTTACACGAATTGCACACATAATCACAAACACGTACACAAATTTTTTTTAAATTACTTCTTGGTGTGACCAAGTCAATAAATGCGTATGCACATGGGTGCATGGGTGGATAAATAGGATAATAAAAATGTGTTAAAATAATAGTAGCCATCCCCGACAAAGTTTGAGTACAAATTTCGAAAAAATCTGTGAATAAATGTGTGATAGCGTGGGTGGAGGTGTAACACTTGAAAAAATCACATCGTCACCATCTCCACAAAATTTGCAACATTTTGGTACCAATTTAAAAAAAATCGGTTCATAAATATACATTTGCGTGGGTGGGTGTGTGGGTGGAGGCGTAAACTTAAAAAAATAAAACAGCAGTTTTCTCAGAAAAATTTGCAACATTTTGGTACTAATTTCGTGAAAATTGGTCCATAAATGCGCATGCGTGTGGGTGAATGCGTGGGTGGGTGCGTGGGTGGGGGTGTAACACTTGAAAAAACCGCATCGTCGCTATCTCCAAACAATTTGCAACATTTTGATACCATGTGTTCAGAAATATTGCAAAAAAAGAAACATACCCTCCTCTGAGGAAAAAAAAATTAAAAAATTAAAAAAAAAAACCCCACAGCAGCCACCCCCGAAAAATTTGCAACATTTTGGTACCAGTTTCACGAAAATCGGTCCACAAATGCGGAAGTAGTTCGCGTACATACATACAGACAGACGGTGCTTATATATAAAGATTATTGTTTTTCCAATAGGAAAAAATTTCACGAGACGTGGAGAAAATCGAATGGTTCGGATGCTTTACTTTGAGACAATTCAATACCTCTTGTGCAATTGTATCCAATGATGCGCTTACATTCGTGTAACATACATCTTTTCGAGGTTGAATACCTTGTGCTATGAAAGTACAAACTTCTTCCAATAGCTGAACTCGTTCAGGTTTTACTTTATATCTGTCCAACTCATTTTGTATCGAAGATATCTTCTCATAGTGAGACATTTTTATATTGCAAAATTCTTGGATTGAATTTCGATCAATTTTCCTAAAAAATTTATACATATTAAATTATTAATTAATGAATAAATACAATAAAAATTGTAATAATAGTAGCATTATAATATATATGAAGATCATACTGTGGAAATTGTGTTAACAAGCATTTAATCTCCTCAATAATAAACATATATTTCAGCACATTTATAGGCTTATTTATACGTTTAAAAACAAGTAAATTTTCATTCAAACGGTTTGCATATTTATCGATATTACCACTGAATTTTTTTACATCATCGAATTCCAATACTACATTATTAATTGAGTCATCGAAATAATTTTGATTTGATTTTTTATTGTAATAATAATCATGAAAAAGAATTAGAGACAAATAATTTCGCAATTGTGTCGCAGAATTTATGCCCATAGTAACAAAGTTTATGTTTTCTTCATTTTCTTCTTTTTTAAGTTTTTCATATCTTTTCTTCGTAAAGGGCCATCTGAAATACGACCATAAAATATTGTAATAAATATTTGATAATGATACTTAGTGTTGTGTCAAGATTATTTTAAAATTAGCTGGATAAAGGTGAGATAAATGTATGAAAATTCATCTTTGATAGGATAAAGATGATTTTGTTTTAAGTATATCTAGATAAAAGATATAATTATATGACGAATTATTTAGATAATTGTTTAGATAATAATTTTTAAGGTTGTTTATGTAAACACAGTTATACAAAAAATATAAATTATAAAACGGATACAACAATATATTTATATTTTTATTTATAAATTTTTATCGCTTTTCTGTCTACTTTAAGTATTCTTATGTGCTATGATTCTAAATTAAAATTATTTGAATATTATTTTAGATAAATAATATAGTAAAGGTAGTACTTTTTTTTTATCTACTTGTAAGATGCAGATATAAAGATAATACATATTTCTATTATCTATATGCAGATAAGATGACGCCATAGTTCTTTTATTTAATTTTATTTAGATAACAAACAGCAAACTTTTATGATAGTTAACAATGTGATTGTACAAGTAATTTTTCAAATTAATAAATTTTTTAAAGTATACAATTCAAAGCATGAGTACATGTATGTCACTACTTTTTATATTTTAATCAGAAAAAGAAAATATATAATAATCAATTTTAATTTGTAATTTAATTTATACTCTCTCTTCTCTCCCTCTTTTCAAATTTTGATTCTAATATGTATATTGCATAAATCTGTAAGTGTATTCTATATGCAATTAATAAACATTAATGTGCGTATGTATGTATAGATTAAGTTTTTTTTAATATTTTGTAGAACAATTTTTTCGAAAACATATTTACAAACAATGTCGATTGTGCTTATATATGTCACTTGGCATGTTTTTACTTTTATAAAGATTTTATTGTGATTTCAATGCTATTTATAAAAAAGAACCGTTAGAAAAATATCAAATCAGTTTGTTTCTATTACGAATATATATCATATATATTTTTATATTTAAAAATGCAATTAAATATATTGAAGAATACACATTATAATAAATAAACCAAGTTACTTTTGTGTTGTATTTTTAATAATTAAATCTAAAAGAAAATTATTGAATGACTGAATATTTTTCGACCGATATATATATAGGCTAATTAATATTTAATTAATTAATTACACAACGTTTCATATAATTTTTGTTATTCTGAAGTGTTACTGTTAAGTGTGCGAAGGACCAAAATTATATGGTCGAAACACCGTGGTCGAAACATTGTGTGATTAATTAAATAAACATCAATTGACAAATGTCGGTTGAAAAATATTTGGTCTTTTAATTACGTTTACATTCCATATATATATATTGTGTATATATATATATATAAATATATATGTGTGTGTGTGTGTGTGTGTGTGTGCGTGTGCGTGTGCGTGTGCGTGTGCGTGTGCGTGTGCGTGTGCGTGTGCGTGTGCGTGTGTGTGTGTATTATATATGTATATATATAACGGTAGAGTTTGCCAAAATTATTGAGCAATAGAAAAAATGAAAGCGAATAATTTAATATGCAACATACCTAATTTTTCTAATATTTTGTATTTATTATATATTTATAATATACGTTTTTGCAGAAGTGATATACATTGTGCGACAGACGTTAATGAGACAAAATAAAAAGATTTACACATCACAAGAATTACCTCTGAAATAACTTTTTTTCCAAGAACTTGTCATATGTGGCTGCATAACGAAATTTCTTGCACACGCATCGAAAGTTAATGATATCCTCAATAGTGATAACATTATAGCTGAGAATGATGGCTGTTATCTCCTCTGGTAAGCACGTTATCTTACAATCAGACATTATGGGAAACAAAACACAAGAAAGGAATATAAATTAAAGTGATTGCAATATACTATTCGCGTAATTAATTCCTTGCTTTTCGCAGTACACGAAATATGTTGATTACAAAAAGCATAAATATGTGTGTTCGATCTACCTTAGAGATGTTTTCCACACTGCAGACGTTCTGTTCTTTATTATTAAATTTGACCTCAAATTTTAAAGCTTTATTGCTTGTTTTAACTAAGATACAGGTATAAGGATTTGTCACGGCATGCGCAGAAAATGTAATTTTGAACTAGCTAATTTACCGTTTCTTCGTATGCGCTTGAAAGAACGTGGTAAATAATTTATTTATTATTTATTTTGTTATCATTTTTTATTTATTTATTGTTCTCTATATAAGCTTAATTAAAATAATAAATTTTTTCAAATTTATCAGTTATTTCAAATTTTACTAATTTCTATGTATTTATATTTTGCATTATTTAAGATTAATTAATTATTTCATTTCAAATTATCAATTATTATATCAAATTTTACCAATAATATTCATGTATTTATATTTTACAGTTTAAAACTCCAGTGCTGTGAATTGTCAAATTTTCTTGATAAGAGAGAAAAAGGAAGAAAGAGATTTACATTTTTCATTCTTCAAATCTTTACAGATAAAATTCTCAGTTAAAATAAAATCGTCGACTTACAATACAAATATTTAATAATTGATGTATGTACATAGTTTATATAAGAATATTCTATAAAATTATGTAGTTTTATTCGCGCGTATATACGGGGTGTATATATTCTAGAAATCTAAATTTTATAAGAATATAAAAACTCCATGGATTAAATGCAAATTCAAAATGAACAGATTATGCTACTTCATCGCGGATGTTTGTGAATAAGTCTCAGTTCGAGATTTTAATTTTTATGTTTCCCTCTGATCCCCCTAAAAAGTTGTAGAAAAGCAAAGTATATCGGTCCTAAAGTTACTAAATCGGGAACTTAGGAATTAAAATAGAAATTCTAAAATTGAGAACTAAGTTGAGATTTATTCCTAAATAGTCTTATTGTTAGCAGTATGCAAATTCCGTGCTTCGTGCACAATTATAAGACATAGGGGAAAAACTAATTTTTCTTATCTAACGCACAAACCTTCGCCTTCGGCTCGCATACCCTTGTTTATTTCGAGACTAACTTTCTTATTCATTAAGTATATTTGTTCATTTATTTTTCAAAAGTTTATATTAATCACTAAAAAAAACTAAATAATAATATTTATATTTATCGGTTTTTCACTTATTCTTTTGGTAGCTCTTGGAGAGGTGCAGAGATATTATGAAATTGAAATAAATATCATTAATTTAAAAGAATTATTTATCTTATTAAATTTGTCGCAAATCTTGCGTTTCAGAATGACCTTAAATGTGTTTTATAACCAAGTGTGGAGTATATTTGCAGTTCTAAGCAGGTGTGTTTCAATTGTTTTTTTATATTTTCAGATATATAAAATATTTTGGTATAAGTCTTTGTACAATTATCTGATTTTAATATATTTTCTGATATAGAATAAGAAGGCCGCACACTTGAAACATTATGTACAAATTTCTATATGCTTTATTTTTATATGATATATATGATACAGATGTATCGATAGATAATAGGATGAAATTTTTATCACAGATATCGCATGCTTCACATTGTTTGTTAATACCTTCTAAAAAAATGCCACATCCATCGAAAAGATGCTCTGCATAAATGATACGATGAAAACATACTTCGTTAATAGTTATGTTAAACTTTGTTATGATTTTTATTCCATTAAATTTATGTTTTTCCTTTGATTGTCTAACGGAATTAGTTAATATATTTTACATCATGATAAATGCGCCGCATAATAAAATCAAAGAATAAATTTATAAATTTAAAAAATACAGCGCAGACATTTAAATTAATGTTCAGATTTTTAATTTTAGTTTAATTAAATTTGTTCAAATTTATTTCAATATATAAATACAAATATTTATATGAATTATTAGTATCGTTACATTATTTATAATATGAAATATATTTCACTCTTTCTTCCTCTTTCCCTCTCTACCTATCTTTCTTTCTTTTTAATAAATAATGTACAAATTTTAAGAATTTCGAAACTTTTATGTAGTTTACTCGCGCGTATATACGGGGTGTAAACTATTATATAACGTGATATAGAGAATTATATATTGTTTAAATTGCTCGATTACTGAAGAAACATATTTGTAAAATTAATAAATTAATTTTTGAAAAATAAAATATAAGATGAGTGTTCTAACAGAAGTTTAAAAGAAACGGAAACTAAAATGTTACATTTTGAATGACATTAAATGTATTCTGTGCTCAAGTGTGACGTATATTTGCTGTTTCTTCACTAAGCATGTGTTTCTCAATTATGTTTCTTTTTTATTTTTAATTATATAATTAATAATAAAAAAATAATAAATTTATTTTGGAAAAATAAAAAAGATGGTTCGAGTGTTCTAATAAAAGTTTGATAGACACTGAAACTAAAGTGTTACATTAATTTAATATGTTCATTAAATTTATCATGTACCATTTTTACTATATTCAATTTATATATTGTATATAATAAAAATTATTAATAAGTGTTCCATTTTAATGACATTAATTGTGTTCTGTGCACAAGTGCGGAGTATATTTATTACACATTTATGTGTTTTTTATATTTTCAGATATATAAAAAATTTTTTTTTGTATAAGTCTTTGTACACACACACAATTATCACATTTTAATATATTTTAATATATATTTAACGTTGTTTGTTATATTTCTTAAAATATTGCCTTATCCATTGAAGAGATCCTCTACATAAAAGAAAGATATAACTTGTTGGAATTAGTTAAATTTTAAAGTCTTGCTTGAATCTTGCACAAATTTTCAAATACTGCAATTATCATACAATATATCATACAAAATCTAATATCATTAATACGTTTTTATTGTCTCTTTCAACAACAAAGTATTATATATATTCTAAAATATATAAATCATTGCCTTTTATTAACATACGTGTTTTTACTTATACAAATGCAACACTATCGATGATACAAGTTTCAAAATAATAGATATTAATAAATGGTGAATTTTAATTATGTCATATTTTGCATATACTTAAAGTATTAAAAAAAAGTTCATAAATCAATTAATTTTTCTAAATTTTTAAATTTATAAATTCTACTGCACTAATTCAAATTCTTGCAATCGCAATTTTTCTTATTTTATTGTTTATATTAATTAATACAATAAATATAGCAGAGAATAATAAATATATTTTATTCGTCGTTGATTCTCAATTGACATTGCATACAAATATAGGGCATAGTATTTATCTACAAAGGTCGAACGTATATACGTATATACATGTATATGCGTCAATATAACATGTCTGTTATGTATGTTGGTCCATGCAACTACGGCATATTTTACGTTTTTATTTATTTGTTCTAATGTTTAAAACGAAATACAAAACACAAACTGTAAAATTTGTACTTTAATTGATTTTTTGTGAATAAATGTCTCAACAAACACTTAACCACGTTAAATTATAAAAAATTGTAAATTATACATATTGTTATCTAAAAGAATTGTTATCTAAAAGAATCTCACAATGTTCAATATTTTTACAATTATATATATATTATATACTAATATGCGATTGTTAGTGCGCGGATGTACTTTACTCATATTGTACTCATATTTCTCAAAACATGATGACAGAAATAGACACAGATGCAGGCTCATATACTATTCAAAACACGGACATATTATGATATCTTGAAACTGTTTGCAAAATACGTCATTATGAGTATATATAAATATGCCTAAATTAATATAATTACTCACATTTTGCATCATATGTATATATAACTTGTACTCATAATACTCTATCATCATAATATGATTACAAAACATACAATACATTTTAATCATATCAGAAGATCTTATATAATGCTCTATTTAATTATCTCTATATAAAAGCAATTTTCTTATTATATATAATTGTTCCCTTATAAATTCGTCAACTATATTTGTTGTGAACTCCAACATCTAAAAAAATTAATTAAACATGAATATATAGACGACATCTAAATAAAAATGTAATTATAAATTAAAAAAATGAGAGATTGCACATTTCTCTTCTTCCTATACATATTTAGTGTAATTTATTGGTTCTTTGTAAATTTACAAGTACATTAATAACTTAAAATTATTAGAAGTAATAAGTAATTTTCAACCTTTTTAATTGTTAAGACTGGTCTCCAATTATTTGATTGATTATCAGTAAGACAATTCGGGTAATCCTCGTTTGTTATGTAAAAATTTCGTGCATTTTCTAAATTATCCGTGACGCTGTAAACAATTAAAATATTACTTTAATCATTATGAACATTTTTATAATAAAAAATTATATATGCATGCGTATAATAAAAAAAGAAAGATTATTGAGAAATAATAATAATGTTGATTCTAATATATATTTATACTTACAATTCTGGTTTCCAAAATATATAGAATTCATTTTCAATATCTAGTACATCGCAACGTAGACCAAGTCTTCTAGCCACGCTATGAAATATTGTATATACAATGATATCTCTACCAAATTTACTTTGTAAAATCTGTGCCAGGTATAATACAGGATAAATTAATCAATGCGACAGAATATTAAGAACAATATATAATATATATATATATATATATGGCCCATAGTTATATATATTATAATCTCTAATAACTTACATAATCTATACAAATCCATTTGATATCATCGGGTGAAAATGGGGAGATACATTGTTGAAAGTTCAAGGTGCCAAATATATATTCCTGGAGTGTATCCATAATCTGCGTACTTTCTGTTTCATCCCATTGATTATCTTCGATATTGTTGGTTTTCCAATCGTAAAAAATTTCTTCTGACGTGGAGAATATCGAATGGTTCGGATGCTTCTCTCTGAGACGATTCCGTACCTCTTGTGCGATTGTATCCAATGATGCACTTACATTCGTGTAACATACATCTTTTCGAGGTTGAATACGTTGTGCTATGAAAGTACAAATTTCTTCCAAAAGCTGTTTTTTTTCAGATTTCTTTATATATCTGTCCAACTCATTTCGTATCGAAGATAGTTTTTCATAGTGAGACATTTCAATATTGCAATATCTTTCGATTGATTTGCAATCAATTCCTCTAAAAATTTATATATTGAAGTATTAAGTTAATCAATAAAATAAAACATTAAATTGTGATAATAGTAGCTCTATAATATATATGAAGATATCCTACCGTGGAGATTGTGTAAACAAGCATTTAATCTCCTCAATATAAAACATATATTTCAGCACATCTGTAGGCTCATGTGTACGTTTAGGAATAATTTGATTTATATATTCATCGATATTACCGATGAATTTCATTACATTTTCGAATGTTAATACATTAACAATTAAGTCAAAATAATTTTGATTTGATCTTATATTGTAATAATAATAATAATTATAAAAAAAAATTAGAGACAAATTATTTCGCAATTGTATCACAGAATTTATGCCTTTTGTAACAAAGTTTATGTTTTTTCCATGCTTTGTTTCCTTAAGACTTTTATATTTTTTCATTGCATAGGGCCATCTAAAATAAAACATTAAAAATTTAAAATACGACCATAAAATATTGTAATAAATTTTTGATAATGATACTTAGTGTTGTGTCATGATTATTATAAAATTAGATAGATAAAGATGAGATAAAAGTATGTAAATTCATCTTAGATAGGATAAAGATGATTTTGTTTTAAGTATATCTAGACAAAATATATAATTTAATGGCGTTATATTTAGATAATTGTTTAGATAATAATATTTAAGACTGCTTATGTAAACACAGTTATACAAAAAATATAAATTATAAAAGGAATACAACAGTATATGTATTTATATTTTTATATATAAATTATTATCGCTTTACTGTCTACTTTAAGTATTTTTAAGTGCTATGACTCTACACCAAAATGATCTAAAAATTGTTTTAGATAAATTATATAGTAAAGATAATATTTTTATTATCTAAAATGCTGATATAAAGATAATTCATATTTTTATTATCTATATGCAGGTAAGATGACGCCATAGTTCTTCCATTTAATTTTATTTAGATAACACACAGCAAACTTTGATGATAATAAACAATGTGATTGCACAAGTAATTTTTCAAATTAATAAATTTTTGAAGTATACAATTCAAAGCATGAGTACATATATGTCACTTCTTTTTATACTTTAATTAGAAAAATTAAAATATATAACATTCAATATTAATTTGTAATAAATTTATACTTGGATGAATAACATTTGTTTTATATTTATTTTTTAACTACATATTCCTAAAAGTATATTAAAACTCAATTTTCAAATTTTGATTTTAATATGTATATTTTGTAATTCTATACGTGTATTCTATATGGAATTATTAAACATTAATGTGCGTGTGTGTATGTATGTATATATTAAGTTTCTTTTTAAATATTTTGTAGAACAATTTTTTCAAAAGCATATTTACATACAATGTCGACTGTGCTTATACATGTTACTTGGCACGTTTTTACTTTTATAAAGATTTTATTGTGAATTCAATGCTATTTATAAAAAAGAACCGATAGAAAAATATTAAATCTGTTTGTTTTAATCACGAATATATATCATATATATAATCTTTATATTTAAAAATGCAATGAAATATATTGAAGAATACACATTAAAATAAATAAGCAAAGTTACTTTTAAATTTAATTTTTAACAATTAAATTTAAAAAAAAATATTTAATGACTAAATATTTTTCGATCGATACAGGCCAATTAATATTTATTTTATTAATCACACAACGTTTCTTAAAATTTTTGGCCTTCTCAAATGTTACTGTTAAGTGTGCGAAGGACCAAAATTATATGGTCGAAACACCGTGGTCAAAACATTGTGTGATTAATTAAATAAACATCAATTGACAAATGTCGGTTGAAAAATATTTGTTCTTTTAATTTATGACAGCCGAAAATTAACAATTCTTATCAGTATATTATATTTAACGTTTACATCCATATACATATATATATATATATATATATATATGTATATGTATATTATATATGTATATATATAACGGTAGAGTTTGCCAAAATTATTGAGCAATAGAAAAAAATGAAAGCGAATAATGTACTATGCAACATAAATGCAACATACCTAATATTTTTAATATTTTTTATTTATTATATATTTATAATATACGTTCTTCGCAGAAGTGATATACATTGTGCGACAGGCGTTAATGAGACAAAATAACAAAAAGATTTACAAACCACAAGAATTACCTTTGAGATAACTTTTTTTCCAAGAACTTGTCATATGTGGCTGCATAACGAAATTGCTTGCACACGCATCGAAAGTTGATGATATCTTCAATAGTGAGTACATTATCGTTGAGAATGTGGCTTATCATCTCCTCTGGTAAGCACGTTATCTTATAATCAGACATTATGAGAAACAAAACACAAAAAGGAATGTAAATTAAAGTGATTCCAATAAACTATTCGCGTAATTCCTTGCTTTTTGCAGTACAAGAAATGCGTCTGCCGATTACGAAGAGCACAGATGTGTGTTTGATGTACACGAGAGACGTTTTCCACACTGTAGACGTTCTGTTCTTTATTATAAAATTTGACCTTTAAAGCATTATTGCTTGTTTTCACTAAGATATAGGTATAAGAACTTGCCACGGCATGCGCAGAAAATGTAATTTAGAACTAGCAAATTTACCGTTTCTTCCTATGCGTTTGAAAGAACGTGGTAAATAATTTATTTATTATTTATTTTGTTATCATTTTTATTTATTTATTGTTCTCTATATAAGCTTAATTAAAATAATAAATTTTTTTCAAATTTATCAGTTATTTCAAATTTTACTAATTTTTATGTATTTATATTTTGTATTATTTAAGATTAAATAATTATTTTATTTTAAATTATCAATTATTATATTAAATTTTATAAATTTTTTGTATTTATATTATACAGTTTACAACTCCAGTGCTGTGCATTATGAAATATTCTCGATAAGAGAGAAAGGGAAAGAGAGAGATTTACATTTTGCATTTTTCAAATCTTTACAGATAAAATTCTCAGCTAAAATAAAATTTTTGACTTACAATACAAATATTTAATAATTGATGTATGTACATAGTTTATATAAGACTATGCTACAATTTTATGTAGTTTTATTCGCGCGTATATACGGGGTGTATATATTCTAGAAATCTAAACTTTATAAGAATATAAAACTTTATGGATTAAATCAAAATGGACAAACTCAAAATGAACAGACTATGCGAACTCAACGCAGATGTTTGTGAATAAATCTCAATTCGAGATTTTAATTTCTATGTTTCCTTTTGATCTCCCTACAAAGATGTAGAAAAGCAAAATATATCGGTCCAAAAGTCGCTGAATCGGAAACTGAGGAATTAAAATTGAGATTTTAAAATTGAGATCATTTTGCAAAATCTGAAATTATGCTAATATCATACAAAATCTAATATCATTTATAAGCTTTTATCTCGTCTCCTTCAATACAAAAGAATTATGTATATTTGAAAATATAAAAATCATTGTCTTTTATTAACATACTTATTTATACTTATACAAATGCGACACACTATCGATTATATATGTTTCAAAATAATAGATATTAATAGATGGCAAATTTATTACGTCATTCTGCATATATTGAAAGTGTTAAAAAAAGTAATTAAACTAATTAATTTTTTTATTTTCAAGATTTATTAATTCTTCTGCATCAATTCAAATTGTTGCAGTCACAAAATTTTCTTACTTTATTATTTATATAATTGAATACAATAAATATCGCAGAAAGATAATAGCTATATTTTATTCATCGTTGATTCTCAATTGTCGAACATGTATGTATATATGTATGTGTCAATAACATCCTATTATCTATTATGTTGGTCCGAATCTGTAGATTGATCTGTAGGTGGATTATATATTATGATAATTTCTACAGCATATTTCACGTTTTCATTTATGTGTTCTACTAATTAAAATAAGACAGAAACTGTAAATTTTTTACTTTGATTTTTTTGTGAATAAATGCCTCAATAAACACTTAAAACACGTTAAATTATAGAAAATTGTAAATTATACATAATTGTTATCTGAAAATATCTCACAATGCTCTTTATTTTTACAATGGTATATGTTATTTACTAACTAGCGATTATGTTAGTGCGCATATGTTTTTTACACATTACAATTCATTAATCCCAAATAGATTATTATGTGTCCATATAAACGTTTCAACAAAATCTTTTATCATGACCAACATCTGAAAAAGTTAATTAAACATAAAAAAAGATTAAATGTAAACAAGAATCTAATTATAATGTAAGAAATGAGAAATGTACGTATCTTTTCTTTCTACACACATATAATGTAATTTATTAATTGCTTGTC